AAGAATACATAACGGTGAAGTCCTGTAACCAAAAGAATATATTATAATTAACAATTTAAATATATTTTTTTTCAATTATATTATCTTACCAGTCTCGGGTGGTGGTCCTGAGCCTACATATTCAGAAAGTGTTTCACCCTTAGTAATATCATTACCCGGAATATTTCCAACTAGCCAATGATGCCATTCTCTAGATGTGGGTTCCTTACGACTCGGAGCATCAGGATCTAAAATAACAATAATTATCAATTACAATAAATTTTAATATTGAATACTGTATTATTTTTTATGTATAATAATATCATCTATGTGTTTAATACCTCAAAGAAAGTGTACATTAATGCACAAAGAAATAAAATTAATTTTTATAATTGCTTAATATACTGCGTTTATGATGTTTATATAGTATTATTAGTAAACACTTGACAATGAAATAATTGGAGATGTAATTTATATATATTACCTGTCATACAAAGAGTGTACAAAGCATTTGCATCAGCAGGCCAGCGTACAGACGGTTCATTTTTTACTTGAGTAGGTGTGAGTTTATTACCCATACTAACCATCACTCCACTTGGGTATGACACCTATAATACAAAATATGTATACACATTATATACATTAATAAAATGTTAAATGGGTCCTATATTTAGGAATGACTTGATATTAGTGATACAGACATTATTTTTTTAAAACTCGATTCACAACTCAATTTACAGTAGAACCTCGATTATCCGAACCTCCGTTATACGAACTCTCTATTATCCGAACTACAATTAACGTATTCGAACGTTCTGTTATCCGAGTGTTAAAACTTGTTGTAGCACTCGTATCGATAATTTTGTTAAAAAATATAATAAACATAATATGTTCCGATGTATTTAATGTATTTCCAATAACGTAATGTATGTAATAAAATATTAATAATAATAACAATAAATATAACTGTGTTTTAAAAATTTATAAATTGGGTTTTTTTTTTAAATTTCCAACATCCAAATTTTTGCGTGTCCGAATTAGGTACGGTCCCAATTAATACCTACAGACAATCGAGGTTCTACTGTATTTAACTTATTTTACTATAAATACATAGATCACATTATCATTACAGGCCCCACATACTAAATACCATAAATGGAACAAAAAGTAACATTAAGTTGAAAAAATAAATTAAAAATTAAATTAAATGACACGAGTCGTGTTTTCACAATATACAATAATTATTATTTTCCTAACGAAAATTTCACAAAAAAATACTTATTACAAAAATGATCTTAATAATACATAACTTATAACTAGGGTTAGGATTTACGAGTATATGCAACATTATGTTTTTTGCGACTTCTGGTTATACCTTATAACAGTAATGTTTTTATTTTGCATATTATTGCATATTTTGCCTTTAAAACGCAAAAACTGCATGATTTATAGTATATTTCGTTACTAGACATTTTTATCGTGTGACAGTATGTATTGATGCTATTCACAAATACTTATATAAAAACATATTAAGGTCTAACGAAAGATCGTTCAGTTTTGGAAATTTAAAATACCATGTAATCCAAAATAATAACAGAGAAGTTGTTAATGTATAATAAATTCTATTATTAATCAATCTCTTAATATATAAAACCTTTTTTAAACTTTAAATTATGGAGAATACTCAAAAAAAAAAATAAAGAGAAATCAGTGCATTGAAAGTTCTCTGACCTATACCCACACTCAATATACAAAATTCAGTAGGACCAATCATGAGTTGTAAGATTTTATACTATAGTCATAGTAAATTGACCTGTTATCAAACACTAAATAAAAAATATAATTTATAATTTTACATTGGATCTTTTACATGATTCAATATTTTTAAATATTCAAAGTTCTTCATAAGATTTTGTTTCTAGAATTTAAAAAAAAAATGAGCATAATTCTACTTATGTTATTTATGGTTAGGTAAAATTTACATTTTTACCAAGTTTAATAATTTATCTAAAAAACATTTATATTTTAATTTTCAATTTAAGATAAATAAATAGGTAGAGATGTTTTTTTTTTATTTACCTGTAATATTTCTTTTGGAGCAACAGGAATGACATCAGGTACCACTTGTTGATGTTTCATAGTTTGATTGATATTACACGTATGTGAAAATACGCCAATAATTGTGATATATATCTGTAGAGTACAGAGTAAATTTATTTTAATTAAATAATAGAATCGTAAAAATAAGAATGTTTATATCAAAATAATTCCTTACCATAAATAAGCTGAAGCGCCACATATTCGTCTCTAAAAAGTCAATGCGCCGATAAATATAAAACTGAAGAGTCTGTACTAGTTGACGGTCCAACAATTTATGTATTCAAATTATTTACTCAAAGTTTTATGTGGAGGATAATCATAATAAAATTAAATACTAATACTACTAAATTCTGGGTACTTATAGAATCTAATTATTTAATTTCTGAAGAGTGAAGGTCATAATAATTTTACAATAATATATATCAAAAAATTATATATAAATATGAAACATGTTTTACCTATGGCTATTAATTTATTAATAATATCATAATATTAACTAAATTTCAACATAATTACCAGGAACATAAAACAAGTACCTAATATGTTGTTGACATTGATAATTTTTAATAGATGGTTAAAAATTTCATAGCAGAATATGTTTGAAAAAAATAATGGTGCATATCATAATACATTATTATTAATATAAAAACAACTAAATACATCATACCTATATATGTTTCACATTTACAATTGTATTACATTGATTGCAAATTGCGTGCGGCTAATATAATACATTATCATATCTCATTATGTAAATGTTACGTTTTATATGATAACCAAAAAAAAAACGTTATTTATTAGACTAAAGCAGTCGCTTCACGCATTCAGAAGGATTGTGTCCACTGTCCGGACAAGTAGTTGCAGAAAATTAAACACGGAATAATTTAGCGCGGATAATTGAGCGCGTGGACAATTTAACACGCGAACTTTTTGATGCAAGCTAATTTAACACATAAGTTCATTACAGAGACAAATATCAAATATTATACCTATACAATATATAATGAAATAATAATAATATGTTGTTCATACCTATTTATCTTATAATCTATAAGGGTCTATGATAGGGTGACGCAATCCAAAATTTTCTATAGAACTATGGAATATTTTGATTTAATTGAAAATAATATACCCCGAAATAAAAGCTCAATAAAAGGCTGGCATAATTCATTTACTTCAATTTTAAGTGCAATACATCCTTTTATGAATTTATCTATACTTCGAAAAAAAGAAGAAAAGTTAAATCGATTAAAATACACCGATTTATGGCGAGTAATGAACCTAAACCAATAAAAAAAAAAAAAAAAAATGTTACAAAGACACGACTTTAATAATAAAAAATAATTGTTCAGAATTCAATGCCAGGCCAATTGACACATATTAAAAGGCATCGCCCAAAATATTTAGATTATTTAAATACTTGTATTATATTATTTAGTTTTATAGCTTAATTTAAATGTATTGTTTAAAATTAGGTATATGTCATATTTTTAATATTTCATATTTATTTATTATATTATTTTAAACTATTTATGAATATTTAAATGTATTATTTCAAATTAGATATTCATACTTTTTGATATCGCTCATTTATTTTAAATTATTTATAAATATTTAAATTTATTATTTCAAATAAAGTAAACATATTGTAACGTCATATTATATTGATATTTAAGTATTTAAATGACATCGCCAAAAAAAAAAATTCATTACCTATTGTAAGTTTAATTGTACAAGAGATTAATTTTCCTCGGGTGTATATGTCAGCACGTTTAATTGTCCGCGTGCTCAATTTGGCGAGATCAATGCTTTGTGACAAAGTTAAACGACGTCTAATATTGTCCTAGATCCCAGACGGATATCGACTTTCTCTAACTCTTCGTTTTTATGTATTCTTCAGCATATTTGAATAAAAAGACCCATACTACCGTTCATCTCGTATTTTTATTCTACTATAGATCTAACAAAATATTAACATTGTTATTTTTAATTTTATAATTCATTCACAGTATAAATAAATTATTATGACCATAAGCGGTTTACTGTAATAAAATAATTTTTTTTTCAAATATTTAATATCTACCCGATATCTTAAAATATGTATTTTTCAGTATTCTACTGCAATTTATTACTCCTCACTACCTTTAAAAATGCAAATGGTTAAAGTGAAAACAATAAAAAAAAATTTAAGTACATATAAAAAAGTAAAAAGCGCCAAATTTGTAAAAAAAATGTTATAGTTTTACGTATAATTAAATCATACGTACTATTAAATATATTAAAATTTATTTATAAAACAATGTGAAAGTAAATTAAGTTGACAATAAATATTTATTATGAGATTATACTATGTAATAATAGGTATAATATAAATTGGCCGCTGTTCGCTACAATTATACTATCCATATTCTATCAAAATAAGTGTAATATTAATATATTATATTATTTCATATTATCATATAAACGTATCTCCAACCCCCCTTCACTAATCACAAACAATAAAATTTATATAAAACTCGCCGTTGTTGTGCAGACTGCAAAATTAAAGTTTTAATTTGACCACTATATAATATTTTTTACAGAAACAAGGAACCAAATTATCTGAAATTCATGGATCCAACAAAAAAAAAAAAATATTTATAAAAGTTCAGAGATTTAAAACCATTCTAAAAACATAAAAATAATATTATTTAAGTAAAATAAAAAAACATGCATTTTTTAGGCAAATAAGTTTTTATTTTTCTCATTTGCTTACAAATTCAAAATATCAAATAGTTACTTAAATATCATTTTCTACGTGAATAATATATTTATTAGTCATTTTTAAACATAACCCAACACTTTGGAGATGAAATTAGTTAATTCCTAATTGCTGATAAAGAGTTGGAACATAATCATCGTACTGGGCCAGGTAAAAATTACCAGCCACAGGTGTTCCTAAATTGTACTTCAATGCAAATTTATTGATTGAAAATTTCTCACGATGTTCCACAGATCTATAATGTATATAAACAGTATAAAGAATATAATATACAAAATTATTATTTTTTAAGATCTAAGCTTTGAGTATAAAAATGCACAATAGGTTAATTAGTTAGTGGAGTATAATATGTCTAGTAATTTACAATATAGTTCTGTTAATTTTTAATAAGCATTATATTACCTATTGTTTAAACGTGGCTCATCAAATGACAGTTTTGACGGTTGTTTGTATACTAAAAATACATATCGATGTATTCCTGGAAAATCATTTTTTGTTCATTATTATACCTAACTACCTAATAATTATTTGTTAGTAATAAGCCTATTGATACTTTAATCATTATAGTACCGGCTTCTGGTGGAGGTCCAGAACCTAAGTATTCGGAAAGCGTTTCGCCTAGGCTTACATTTTTGCCAGGTATATTTCCTACCAACCAATGATGCCATTCTCTTATTGTAGGTTCAGCCCGACTCGGAGCATCAGGATCTGAGAATAAAAATCAAAAGTAATATAAATTTTTAATATCCATCTACCTTCCTATTTGTTAAAATTATTCTGTACTTACCGGTCAAACATAGCAAATAAAATGAATTAGGATCAGCATTCCAACTAACTGACGGTAGGTCTTTCACTTCAGTGGGTGTAAGTTCATTTCCGAGTAACGCTTTCTTACCACTCGCATAATTAACCTATTTTAATATATTTATTATACAATTTAAGATCACTTATAATTGATAAGTATGCTTTTTTTTTATTTACTTGTAAAATTTCTTTTGGAGCGACAGGAATGACATCAGGTATCACTTGTTGGTTTTGCATAGCTTGACGGACATTGAATTTATGTTCAGATATTCCGACAGTGATACATATCTTTATGGAGTATTTTTTTTTTTTTTTAATAAACCATTAGAATTTTAAAATAAATAATATTTATATCAAAATTAATCCTTACTATAAATAAGCTAAAACACTACATATTTGTCACAGCAAGTAAAGCTGATATCAAATACGTCTGATTGTATAAACTAATAATACAAATAATAATAGTTACCGAAATTTATCTTTTTTTTTTCAATTATTTTTATAAATGTATTGTATACTTAAATTTTATTTTAAACACTTTTTTTGCATTAGATACCTCATTTAATTAACTTTTAATACTTTCAACATTTATTTTATACTTTAAAAACGCTAAATATTTATGATAATTAAAAATACTCAAAATATGTAAAATCAAATTACACACACTAACTCACTATAGGTCATAAGCGCAATTAGGGGGAACAGGGCTAAAAACTTTTGTTTTTGGATATAAAGCTTGAAAATAAAATTCAAGATTCTTCATAAAAGTTTATTACTGTAATTCAAAAAAAAAAAAATTGGCCATAATTCTGCTAATATTATTCATATTGTGTAAAATTTAAATTTGGTAATTTATCTATAATAAATTTTTATTTTTATTTTCAATTTAAAGTAAATAAATAGTTACGTAAGAATGTTTTTTTGCATTCACTTGTATATTTTCGTTTGGAGCAAGAAGACTGAAATCAGTTACCATTTGTTCGTTTTCTATTTCTTGATTGATAATACATGTGTGTGAATACACACCAACCGTGATATATATCTGCAGATTTTAGAGTAAGTTTATTTAAAAAAACAATAGAATCATGAAATAAGAATATTTGTGACAAAATAATTTCTTACTATACATAAGCAAAAGCGCCACATATTCATCTCTAAAAACTAAAAAGACCATAAGCTGAAGACTCTACACTAGTTGACGATCTAACAATTTATGTACTCACGACATTCACTCAGTTTAACGTAAAGAATAATCATAAGAATATTAAAAGCTAATACTATTAAGTTCTGGGCATTCGTAGAATCTAATTCTTTAATTTCTGAAGAGTGAAGGTCATAATAATTTTAAAATAATATATAGATACATCCAAAACTTATTTATATAAGGAATATATTTTACCCGTGGTTATTAATTTATTGTTAATGTCATAATATTAACTGAATTTCAAAATAATTATTGAGGACAAAAATAAAGTACTATGTTGTTACTTTTAATAATTTTTAATAGTTGGTTAAAAATGTCATAGTAGAATGTTTGAAAAAAATAATAGGGCACATCATAATACATTATTATCAATACAAAAACCACCAAGTATTATATACCTGTACATGTCTTACATTTGCAATTGTATTACATTGATAAAAAATTGCATAGCTAATATAATAAATATTAAATTAAATCATCATATCAGATTATGTAAATGTTACGTTTTATAAAGTAACTATTAACACATTGTCTATTAGACTAACAGTGTCACTTCACACATTCAGACGGATATCGAATTTCTTTAATTCTTCGTTGCGTATTCTTTACCATTTATTTGAATAAAAAAGCTAATACTACCTTTAACCTTTTATTTTTATTCTACTATAGGTGTAACAACATTTTAACACTGTTAATTTTAATTTTATAAATAAATTATAATAACTTTAAACAGTTTACTATCACAAAATAGCAACAACTATCTAATACCTATCCATAATAGGTGATTGCCATTAAATTATTACCAACATGAAAACATTTTTGGAATTTTTTTAATGTTTTTAAATTAAATCCAAATAAAAAAAAATGGACGATTATCTTAAAGTTGACGATTTTGGTATAAGTATAATATAGCAAATACTGCAAGTCTGTGAATAAATATAATAATATACTTTATTGAAAATACTTGTTGCCCACCATTTTTTACTGTCCTAGTATTTTAAGATTTCGTTTTCGGTAATTTTTTTTTTTTTTTAATAAATTTTTTTTTTCATCCAATCAAATATTTTACCTAAGTATGGATTAAATATAAAAAAACACCAAATTTATAAAAAAAATATTGTAGTTATATATTTATTTATTTAAATTTATTTATTAAACAATGAGAAAGTGAGTTACGTATTATGGACATTTACATTATGAATAGAATACACATGAAAAACGCAACCACCAATGGTGACACTACATAAAAAAATTTGACTAAAATAAATTGTAATTTGAGATAGTTGAGATTTGAGGAAAATTTAAATCTCTACACCATTTGTCTTCAGCCTACGGGGAGATTAACAGGAATGTCGAACCAAATTCAGGTATTAGCGGATTTGAATGATGTGTCAATCGAAAGTGTATTCGTTTGTTCATTGAAGGGTAGCACCCATAGTAAGATACCGTATATTCAAATAAACATCAATATAGTTTTATATAAAGTACCTATAGGTAGTTTCTATGGTTAGTTAAGAACGTTTCCCTCTTACATAATAAAGCAATTTAAATCTAAAATTAAGAAGTAATTATTATGTATGTTTGTTGAATAATTAATAAACCATACGCTAAAATATCCACTTTTTGACATTGTATGCATAATGCACCTAAAAATTACATTAGGTAATTACATTACCTGCCCATACTTTTTATAATTATTATAGGTTCCATTTTTATTAATATTAATATTAATAATTAATAGGTTTCTATACATTTTTATGTACAAGGTACAACGTACAACTACAGTCTACAATAATGATATTTTTTTAATCAACCATGAAGGTTAATTAAATTTTAATATTTAGTAATATATGATTATACAATTGAACAGTGAGCACTGAAAAGATACATATATATATTTATATAATAACTTAGCTGTTTGTATAATAATGTCACACAATCATTATATTTATCCTGATAGAAATTTCTGGCCACTGGATTTCCCAAATTGTATTTAAGCACAAATTTAGCGATAATAAATTTTTTACGCTTTTCTTCCTATCTAAATTGTTAAATATTTAAAAGTTAACAAGATAAATCATTTGTATTACTTTGTTGGTACCCATTGCTTATTTATACACTACCTGTTAGTTAAACGAGATTCATCAAAATTCAACTTTGACGGTTGTTTATAAGCTAAGAATACATAACGGTGGTAATTACAATTTGTGGTAGGAGGATTGAGTAACCATGTGTTCTCTTATTTTAAGCCAGGTATAACATACCAATCAATAAAAACCTTTTTGTTTTTTATGGAAATATGGCAATTGTGACAAACTAGAAATCATAAGTCTAAAATTGTATACCCGTTCTAATAGAATATACATTGGTTTTCATCAAAAAAACTATTCCTATTATAAGCTGTTCTTTTTTTAAATAATTAATTACAATTTTTAATTAAAATTTAAAAATTATAAGTAAATCATATTAAATATGATTACTATTATAAAAACAAAACATTTTAGCTCAAAATAAAATAAGTATATTTTACAATATACATAATATGGATATAGAATAGTAAATATATTACTATATTAGTATTCAGACAAGACTATAAATGACTGTTTTGCTAAGATAAGTTAAATTTGATTAACTACCTGTATCATCATTTATTACATGAAATATAATTTACTTAATACATAATATATTTAATTACAAAAAATGCATCATTGAAAAATATCTTTTTTAAATTTAAAAATGTTAACTATACCCAAAACCTATTTTAATCATAAAAAATACATTTATTATAAGACCAACTTTGTTTGAATAATAAAAATATAAATGATATTACTATTATTTAAAAATTATATATTGAGTAATATTTGATTATGCAAGTGAACAGTGAGCACTGAAATATATATTTATATAATAACTTAAGCACCAAGCTGTTTGTATAGTATTGGAACATAATCATCATATTGAGCTTGATAGAAATTTCCGGCCACTGGATTTCCCAAATTGTATTTAA